GCCCCATGACGGGCGGCTGCTGGGCCAGGAGGCGCTGGGGGGCCTGGCTATGGCGGTTGCTGCTGCTCTCAACACGGTGCAGCTGCTAACACCAGAAGAGAGAATCAAATGCCGCATGCTGCCGCCTGATCGTTCCTATGAAACAAACTACAGGTGCGCAGACACCCGAAGTGTATTGACAGATGAAACAGGAATTCATCCATACGCGCATCTGCGCAGTTAGACATGAAAGACAGCTGATGCTGAGTGCTTTGTGTTGCAGCAGATGTCCTACACTCGCTGCAGCAACAACAGCTGCTGCTGCAGCGAGCACAGAGGCATGGGTGCCTGCATGTCTGCATGCATGCGTGGGCCTTTGCGTTTTTGTTTTGCATGCAGAGAGTGGCGGGACTTCCTGCTGCGGAAGCAGCCAACTGGAGCTTCTCTGAGTTGNTTTGTTTTGCATGCAGAGAGTGGCGGGACTTCCTGCTGCGGAAGCAGCCAACTGGAGCTTCTCTGAGTTGTGTCTTTGGTCGTGGTATGCTGCGATCTGTGCTGCTCTGCTGCTGTTCGTCCTTGTTGCGGGACATCATGGGGGGCCCCTTGGGGTTTTGCTGCGCTGCTGTATTCCACCGCCTCTGTGATGAAGCCAGCCTCAGCATCCCTGCAAGGCAGGCTGCGCTGCAGTCTCTAACGACTCAAGACCCTACACTGGAGGTACAGGCTTCAACCGCAGCTGCTTCTGCTGCTGCTTCTGCTGTTGCTTCTGTTGCTGCTGTTGCGTTTGCCAACCAGCTGCTGCTGCTGCAGCAGCACACACGTTAGTTGGGGGGTTGCGCTTCAGGGTTTAGGGTTTAGGGTTAAGAGAAGGATCGATTCCATTGAATCCCGTAAGAAGCTCTTAATGTCTTTGGCTGGCTCCTGGTTTTGCAGGGTGCGGGTGTTAGGCTGAGGGTTTAGGGTTTAGGGTGCGTTTCGTTTGCGTTTCAGTCGATGTTGGTTTCTGAGTCGGGTTTGGGTTTCTTGAGCCGGGACTTTGGTTCTGCCCGAGAGGAGGAGTCAGGCTTAATTTCTTTTGCATGTCTGACGAATGACAGACAGCCGCTGCACTCGATGGCTTTGGTTGCAGCTAAAAATATATTTTCGCGCCAGCTGCCGAAGATGCCGCGGGAGTATATTGTCCGTCTCGTCTTCGACCGTAACCACTACACCTTCTGCCTCATCAAGCAGCAGCAAATCATAGGCGGCTGCTGCTTCAGGCCCTACTTTAAGCAGGTACGTTCCCACTTAACACACAACCTGAGGTGTACAGACATCGCGGGGCATATCCGATGCACTCGCCCTGCGTGATTTGATTAGCGGGGTGTGCTGATGCACACACGGGCACGCAGCAGAGGCCACCATGAGGCGCCTGTACACCTCATGTTGGAATGTATCTACACCCGGTGTTCAAATGCGACGGCTGTTTGCATCTCATCGTTGGGTGGAGGAGGCTTTGGGCGTCAGTGCCACCGCGAGATGGGTTGCTGTTAGGTCGTGCATGCACCGTATGTTTTGGGGTTTTTGTCTGCGTGCACTGCATGCAGAAGTTCGCAGAAGTTGCATTCTTGGCGGTCACCTCCTCTGAACAAGTCAAAGGATACGGCACAAGGCTGATGAACCACCTGAAAGAACACGTGAAGAAAAGTGGCATCGAATACTTCCTCACTTACGCTGGTACCCAAACCCTAAACCCTAGACCGCTACAAGCATTTACAGCTGAACATGCACTCACTCTGTGGGGACTGCTTAGAGGCCGCTAACGAGGGTGGCTAGCTGAGGGCCCCGTCATCTCTGTGCGTTCTTACTCTGCCCTCGCGTTGGCTTATTGGGGTCGGCTCCGCATGGATACACGGATGTCTGCATTCATGCCGCCATGCTTGCATCCATGCATGCATTTGTGTTTACGTGTGTGCGTTTGCTTGTAGACAACTTTGCTGTGGGTTATTTCCGTAAGCAAGGCTTTACCCAGAAGATATCCATGCCTAAGGAACGGTGGTTTGGTTTTATAAAGGACTACGAGGGGGGCACTTTAATGGAGTGTCGCATCTCCCCTAAAGTCGACTACCTCCGCCTCTTCTCAATCCTCAACGACCAACAGGAGGCAGTGCAGCGGGCAATACTTCGCCTGAAACCTCCTCGCGTCTTCCCAGGACTTACCTGCTGGCAGGTGAGCAACCAGGGGCNGGTGTCCCCTAGACGAACGCGGGGGACCCGTAGATGATGTGGCGAGGGGTTCCGTAGACGAAGGGGGGCCGCTAGCTGGGTCTGAGCGGAAGTGAAAGCGCCTTGAGGCGGTCTCTATTTGGGGTTGTGTTGCGCTGAGCCGCTGGGGTGAAGCAGGAGTTGTTGCTTCTGGTGTAGCCTCTGATGCAGCATAGCGGAGATAATGGTGGGATTGTGTTTATTCAGGAGGACCCAACTCGCGTGTTGCACCCTTCGGAAGTGCCTGGGGTGGTGGAGTTCGGATGGACCCCGCAAGCTGCAGCAGATGCAGCAGGGGAAGCAGCTGCAGCAGCAGCAAAGCCTCTGCACGAACAAATCGTGCAGGTCCTCGACGTCTTAGCGCGACACCACAGCGCCTGGCCCTTCCACAAACCCGTCGCCAAAGATGAAGCGCCGGACTACTACGAGATTATACAACAACCAACAGATATTGCAACCATGAAGAAAAAAGCGAAAAAGGTAAAGGTGATACACACGCGGTCCATCCAAGTCATTGCTTGCTGTAACTTGTCCTTGCCTTAGTGTCTGTTGTTGTGTTGTTTCCGCTGCTGCTGCTGCTGCGCAGAAGCAGTTCCCGAACAAGGCGGCATTTCTTTCTGAGTTGAGTCGCATGTTTGCAAACTGTCGGCGTTACAACGGGCCCTCCACTATTTACTACAAATACGCAAACGAACTCGAAAAGTTCATTTGGCCCAAAGCCCTTCAAATACAAGACACCCAGGAAACCGCACCAGCACAAGACAACTTGCGCCAATGAACTCGCGAGATGCAACTACAGCAGTTGCTGCTGCTGTTGCTGCAGCTNCCTCGAGATGGCGACAGGGGAATGAAGAGGGCCCCACAGTGGAAGGGAGGAACGGGGAGGGAAGCCAACAAACAAACAAACACATACATCTGCATTATTACTAGCAATACACACGGAGACCGCCACCAGAACAACAAGCAGAACTGTCTGCACTGAATTGGCCCCGTCTTCTCCTTAGGAGGGTCCCTCCGCGCGCCTCAAGTTGAGGCGGCTGGAGGGCTGTCAGCATCGCGTCTACAAACTTATTTTACATTCTTTTAAAACCGTTTGTTATACATAGGAAGGCTAGCTAGCTAGGCAGTGGTAGAACGTGTCGAGACATATATTGCATCGGCCGGCCTCCTAGCTGAAAGTAAGTTGGGCTCTTGCAGGCTAGTCTAGCTAGCTAGCTACGGATAGCTCCCTTGCTCGGGGATTACTACTCTATCCCTGGCGGGGATTCTTTGTTTGACTTCTGCACTTACTGAGGGGGTTATGCAGTCTCGAGCTATCTTGCCTGTGCGCCCCTCAGGGGACGAACGCCCCAGCAACATAGCGTAAGTGAATAAGACGAAACACTGCAGGCAGCGTACGGTGATAAAAGGGAATCAAGCAGTACGAACAGCGGGGGGATGAGTTCCAGAGAAGTTTACCCTTACTGAAGAACCCCCCCCAAAACAGGCAAATATACAAGCTGAAACATGGTGTGTGTGAATTTGGTCCGAGCATTTGTCGTTGTATGGCGTTGTCTGTGTAAAGTTGGGGTGTGTATTCGTACTTTCGTTCACGCCGGCCACAAAGGGCCAAGTGAGCGCTCAAAATCGTTTAGAGTGTTAACGCATGCAGCAGTAGGACTTCGTTGTGCATGCATGTAGAGTTGCGCTGCTCCAGCGTCCGCAGCAGGGTGCGATGCAGCTCGTTTTAAGCATTCTCCTCTCGGGCTGCCAGTCTGAGGCCGCCTGGAGAGCGGAGGGGAGGGCAGATGACTTTTGTAAGCTCTTGCCTTATGTACTTTGACTATTGCAGCTCTCGATTGTCCTCGGATAAGCTCAAGGACTCTCGTTACACTTTGAAGCGCCGCACGGTTCATCGAGACCTGCAGTAAGCTAAGCTCATCTCGGCCCCTACAGGTGGTTCCCCAACTTGTTAAAACATATATAGTGGGTCTCTGTACACAAGAGCAACAGAAATACACATTAAATAGCATACGACCCATTATCTTAAGGACCTGGGTTCCTTTGAAGGAAAGATCTTTCACGCTTCCCTGCGCCCGGGTGACCTCNACTTGTTCAGTAAACTCTTTTATGCTGAACTATGTGAACTTGATGCGTTCTTTTGCCTCGAAGTTTGATCGTACGGAGCAAGTGCGCGCAACGAACCCCACTCCCCACAGGACCGTGGCCTAATGCGTGGCAGTAGTTGAAGAAAAACAAAAAAGGATAATAAAAACAAACATTTTTAGAAGTCTTTACCGAAACTTCAGGCCTTTCGTCTTGCAAAATGGAGACGGAGTGGGGTCTCCACTCCGGTGGGGAGGCGAGCCACGGTCGCGACACTCCTCAAGCAGAAGCACGCTCGATTTCGATTTCGGCATTCCACGCGGCGAAAAGAGTATCTCCTCCAAGGACAATTCAGGGAGAAGGCCCCCCTCTCTCTGGAGAATCCATGTATGACGGGTGCCCCGATGCGGAGGCAGGGGAGTAGTTCTTTAGCTACTTCGCGTTATGCATTCGTCTTAAAAAAACACTGGGGTATCTACAATTGCTACTGGCGTTTTGTCAATTAGAAGGGGATGCACAATGGTGCTCGATGCATCAAACCGAAGGTGCCGCTTCCTCGGAGCACATTAACAGTTGCATGCAAGCCTTCCGAGGTGCGTTGCGATGCAGGTTTAATCGCGCTGTTGCAATGGAGATGGCTATGGACGAAATGAGAAAACTTAAGCAAGGGAAGATGTCGACTGGGTGCTACATCGAGAAGTATCAGGCCTTGCTCGCCAGAAGTCCAGTGCTGGACCAGCAGCTGCTCTGTGATTGGTTCATAGCAGGGCTATCGCCCGAGGAGAGGGTGGCGGTAGCAGGTTGGGCAGTGGACAGGGAAATGTCCGGTGAAATAGTTGAACTTGCTGATATGATGGAGTTCCTTCGTATCAAAGAAAGGAAATACGCCACAATTACAGCTCTAGCTAAGATGAAAGACGGCAGTTTTGGAACGGACCCAGATTTTGAGGCTATGGAGATTGGGACAGCTAACACAAAACCGGTCCACAAGGGGACTAGAAGCGGTAACCGGCGGCAGCAAGCGAATTCGGCACCGAGAAAGCCGGAAAGACGTACCGATCGGCGTATCTGTTTCTTCTGTGGTACGCAAGGTCACATATGTCGAGATTGCAGGCGTATGAAAGAAGCCAAGGACTTACTGACGCTAGACTTGGAACAGCGCCGCTACGGGAGAAAANTTGCAGGCGTATGAAAGAAGCCAAGGACTTACTGACGCTAGACTTGGAACAGCGCCGCTACGGGAGAAAACGAAATGAAAAGGAAAGTGTCCCGGAGCGCACGCAATGTGGGGCGCAGTGATGAGGCAGACAAAGATGACATGTCGGGTCAATACGGCTGTGGAGCGTTTCGCCAGGTCCTTTTGCTGAGCTAGAATGCGCCCGTCAGTCGAAGAGTATGTCCTCACTTCTCCGGAATGTCAGCCGCAAAAAGGGCGGATCAGCGTCAATGCAGGAGTCCTGCAGAGTCTTCGGGTTTCTGAACGAATCTGGACGGATATCAGAGTGGTGTTTGTAGTGAGTTTGTCTTCGGTCAGCTGAGATATCTGTAGTGCACAGTACTACAATGTTCAGCCGGAAGAATACACCGTGCTCAAGTAGTTAAGCAGGAAAGAGCTTATTATGCAGTTCAAAACAGTACAGCAAGGGGGCCATGTTTAATGGCCCGTCCAAGGTATGGAATAGGCCTTGGTTGCACTGCGGTAGGGCCCAGGGTTAGGGCCTGCAGTATCGCAGGTGGCAACCAGGTCTTTCATACGCTGGAAAACCACGGGATATCTTTTCTTCTAAAGAGATAAGCTACTTAACAATGTGATTTTATGCTTTTTAAGGCAGAAACACTACAGTATCTACGTCTTCGTGGAAAAGCTCAGCAAGCACGCTCAGTTCATCCGTTGCTCCAGATCCGCTGCAGCAGAAAGGGTAACACAATTTTCCATTAATCATCTCTGGGAGCCCGACGTTTTCCCGAGGAGCATCATTACTGGCAATGACCCGCAGTTCGTCAACGCCTTCTCGCGGGAATTCATGAACCAGCTTACTACCGATCACAACGCGAATATCTTGAACCATCCGGAGCCAGACGGTCAAAGTTAACGCATCGACCGCAGGCATGTCCAGTATATGCAGTTCCATACTCACCAAAGCTCATGAAGACCACAGAAAAAAAACACTTTCAGTTATCACTTTCAACCCAGGCGACTTCATTCTGCTCGGTTCGCACGCCTTCCGAAACGCACAGGAGGGTGAATAGCCGAAGAAGGTCGTCTTGCATTTGGTAAGGCCACTCACTGTTCGTTCTCGGGTTAATACGTTTGCTTACAT